GTTTTCTCGATTATTAAACTTGATAAATAAATTCATAATTGAAAAATTATTATTTAATTTATAGAGGCATTCCCCTCTTGCCGTTGGAATTTGTCATTATAATGTCAAACCCGTCGCTAATGCTGTGTAACACTCGAATAACCAGCCAAGTTAGTCATGGCGTATTATCTTCTCTTCGCTGTCTTCGGTCGATTTATCATTGGCGCTGTTTGGAAACAGTTATTATCATTTAATGTATGATGCCGTTTGTTAGTTAACTATCATTTTGTGTGTGTTTTTGTGTGTTTTTTTTTGCCAATATTTAAACTGAAGCCGATTTAAATAAAAGTAAAATGTTATTTGTAAATAAAACTAAATTGCGTCTAGATATTCGAGACAAACTCCAGAGTAACGCGCCGTTGTAGTGTACCGAATAGGAGAAATTACGTCTGGTTCTTTGAGTCTACTCATACCCACATGTTATGTTATTCAACATTTTGAAAGATAGCGGAACATTGCGAGGCTCAAGCTAATCGAACAGTAGTAATAAAGCCTAAAAAAAACATTGCACGAGTCGTATATGGCTCTACTTTGGTTTTGATGAGAATGACTTAGCGCAAACGAAAGTTTTATGTAGATTTTGCACTCGTCGTGTAGCTGCAAAAGGCGGCAACACCAGCAACTTGTAGTGTACGTTCATTTAAAAATACATCACCCAATTGAATATGCCGAACTTCAAGAGAGAATTAAAACCAACGAAAGACACTTACATAACCAAGGCATTCCTTCTACATCAAAACAGCAGGGGAGAGGGGGGAGGGAATGACCTGTTTTTAACACTTATATAATCACATCTTTTATAATAAAACTAAAATATCGAGATATTGTGATATATCGCAATATATCGTTAGCTTTTTATAATAAAACTAAAATATCGTGTTATAGTGATACATGTATATCGTCGTTTTTTTGGGAAATATCGCGATATTTTATTTTACCAATATCGTCCAGCTCTAACTTAAGTCGTTTAGATTTTACGCCAAATTACCACTTTACCGAGAGCCGTCTAGTAACTTACGGGTGAGTATTTAATGCAATGCCGTTTACTTTTCATGTCTTGTAATTAGTTTGCCCAGTGTCATCTAGAAAACTTAAGGCGTTTGTTTTTGTGTGAAATATTTAATTTCTATCTCCCAATTTTAGAAACTATGTTCAGATTTAGAATCTGAGTATAGTGTCTAAAATTCTCAAATAAATTGCATATTTGTTGAATATCGTCCATTCTTCGGTATTTCAAACGTCCGTTGGGAAAAGTCGATTTACAATGAATTGACAATTTTCCCGGCGTAGATAAAACTCAATTTGAAAGATTATCTTGATTTTCTTACATAGAAAATCGCTCAAGCCAAAAAGCATGCTTTTGGACGTAGGTTTACTTCATGGTAAATTAATCCGTCAAATTGGATGGGATGAAAAGACCGATGAAACGATCCATGTAAATTTGGGATGAAACATCCCATAGTGAAACAGTCGTGGGATGAAAAGACCTGCTCCCATTTTTTTTTTACTTTCTGATGTTCAGCGGGAGCTAGTTACTATACGTGTTTAACGTTACAATTGATACAGTCTAAGACTACTTACGCAAGTTCAAATAGGTTCAAACGCACAATTGTCAACACATATCATTACAGTTTCTATTGAAATAAGTAATTCTATGACAAATAGTGAAGACTGGAAAAACTAAAATGGTTGCCGAACAGTTTTTCTTTGTGGTTATGCGTTCTACATTTGCATAGCGATGTTTCTTGTAATGACGTATTACGCAAGCCGCCATGACACGGGCCAGTTGAAATTTTGCGTAGCAGTTGGGTTTCATCAAATCATATAATTATGCAGTAAGGCTTCACCTTTATTTCAATGGGAATTGATTTATTATATGTTAAGCTATGTGCACTACTGTTTTGGGTCAGTTTATGTGTAAATTAAGGGAGCTATAGGCCAGTAACCTTTTTGTAGTCATTTGACTAAAAAACTTGCGCAACTCTGTAGGACGAGCCACTACTGTGGCTGGAGTAAGGCGGAAGACATCAGTAGTAGAACCATTTCTAAGCAGGTGCCAGCTCTGTTATTATTTTGTAGGCTCGGTCGAAATTTAAAGCCTGAATGATCGGCATTCATGTTTGATGTGACTCCCATTTTTGTGTCACAGTATTTCATTGTTGTGGCACCACTAGGTTTTAATCCGACCCTAACCCTAATAATTTTGTGGCGGTTAATAAAAAAAGGAGGATCGCCGAATGATTGATCTACTAGGGGTTTCAGGTCACGTGACTTTAGTGTGAAATCGGACTGCCAGCGGCTGAAATATAGCCCACTTCAATTTACGATTCTTCATTGGTGAATCCGCACCTTAGTTACCGGGGGATTTTGATATAGAACCAATCAAACGATAGATAACATTTTTGTGGTTATTATGCTTGTTGATACCACGTGATCAGACGATTAGACCCGGAGAAAATGGGATTTATCTGTTTTGATGACTGAAAATTGCCAAATTTCGACTAAATATAAAAAAACTTTCTTGAGGTATCGTCCAGATTATATATATTTGACATAATATTATCATTCAAATTATTTCGATTTTAATAAATTTTAGCTGACAATAACGTGCGGATTTCAGTTTTAAAATTGGTACTAGCGATTCTGAAGGGAAAATACCGCTTATGATGTCACTCAAATATGACTGAAAAGCACTTATTTTGGTGCCATGTCACTCATTGACTGGTATAGTCATAGAGCATTTTGATTACATTATTGACCTCGATCTCGGATTTTAAAATTCCATAACTTTGGATCTAATTAAAATATTTTGATGAAATAAAAAAATTGGGTAGCATTTTAAGTATATTTTCACAAAATATTTTTAAAAAACTTTTTTCTGTCATTTGAAACTTTGACCTGAAACCCCTAGATCTACACTATCATTTCATTTATTATGGCTCAGACAGTAACTATTTCATTTATGGGAATATTTAATTGTACAATCAAATTTAAAATTGTATGTATTCTATCTCTTATTGAACTCTATACCAAAATCAACTCACCATAATTATAATTAGAGATTTCTTTTATGTGCACCTGAACTATTGTCTGAAAACAACACAAAATGGCTGATTCGTCTCAGAAAGGAGAACGCTAGATCGGAGACGGTCCTGCGCATATTATGACGTCACATATAGTTTGTGGGTTAGGATTGGGGGGTTTAGGCTTGGCCCAGGGTAAGGCTTAGGGCTAGCTCTTTTTACATCTCGAGACTGACGAAATCTGCATGTCCTAACCCTAACCCACAATCCATATATGACGTCATACGTGCTAAAATGTTCAGAACCGTCTCCGATCTAGCGTTCTCTTCTGCGGAAGTCAAGGACTGTCTTCCGTTTCCGGTTCAACTTGATTACAGTTGTATATCATAAAAGGATGTGGATCCATTCAGCATGAATAACTCACAAGAAATATAATTTCATTTTCACCACAGTAATTCTTCTTTGTTTGCCAAAAGGAATCATTTCTTGCCACATCTGACATGAATTGATAATAGTGTTATGATTTTGCCCTGTATAATATAGATGTCCATCTGGATAAACTGGACTACTTCCTCCTTTACATGGAGAGAGAGAAATGAAATGGGGTTTAATGTCCACTCAACACAAACTAAGTCATTTCGGGACTAACACATGGTTCACTTTTGTTTTCACAATTTGCTTGCGCGTAGGGGTCTTTAGCAGTGGGAGGAAACCGGAGGACCCAGAGAAAACCCACGAGGTTGGACAGGCGACCCTACTCCTTGTCACATACAACCGGGGAATCGGCAGTTGACTCATTGACAGACTTTATGATACAGCACGCACGTGCTAACCATTCAGCCATCCACCCCCTCCTTTACATGGAGTCCCTACTACTAGCTGGATTTGACCTATATATTGCTGGGGGGCCTAGTGGCCAAGAGTGTCACGTTTTGAGCATTAGCTCGATCCCTGCCGTGAGCGTATATGTGGCTTGGAGATATGGGCGCCTCCTCTACCTCATGGGTTTATTTTGGGTACCCCTGCCGTGAGCGTATATGTGGCTTGGAGATATGGGCGCCTCCTCTACCTCATGGGTTTATTTTGGGTACCCCGGTTTTGTCCCACACCGACGGCTGACCCCTGCAAGTGCACTATGATAATGAAAATAAGACAACCTGTCTGCGATATTACTCCATGGAAGCAGACATTAAACACAAATAGAAGAAGAAGAGAGAGAGAGAGAGAGAAGAGAGATAGAGAGGGAGAGAGAGAGAGAGAGAGAGAGAGAGAGAGAGAGAGTTTAACCTCCACTTGAAATGAACTTTGGATAAACATATTGTACTGTTTATCAGTGAGTTTTATTGTTTTCCAATAATGGCCCACAGAATAAGCCAGGACATCAGGCCTGAAAATAACGGTTTTAGATGTACCTGACAAAATGTCAAGCACTAATAAAATAGTACCTGACATTTTCAACTTAGTGCTGGACATGTATTAATAATATTAATAAAAAAAGAAAAATCAGTCCCGGACAAATGACAGGCACCAGAGCCTTTGTGTCTGACTAAGGTTGAATCTGTACCTGATGTTGTCTGTGACAGGTGCCATATGTCCCAGCTTAGTTCTATGGTTAACCTGTCTCTGAACCGCTGTTGTTCTACGATTAAACCGCTGTTGTTCTACAATTAAACCGCTGTTGTTCTACGGTTAAACCGCTGTTGTTCTACGATTAAATCGCTGTTGTTCTACGGTTAAACCGCTGCTGTTCTACGGTTAAACCGCTGTTGTTCTACGGTTAAACCGCTGTTGTTCTACGGTTAAACCGCTGTTGTTCTACGGTTAAACCGCTGTTGTTCTACGGTTAAACCGCTGTTGTTCTACAGTTAAACTGCTGTTGTTTTACAGTTAAACTGTCTCTGTTCTAATTGAAGCCAACTTAAAGAGTTAAACAAAAAGTTAGATTTTATATTCATTTTAATTATTTTTAAATTCATGTAAATCATGTCATGTCTGATATTATAGTTTTGGTAATAATAATAATAATAATAAATATGTATAGCGCTGAGGGCTCCAGCTAACAGCTGCTCTGTGACGCTCTTCACAATTAAAATACATAATGTAAAACAAATAGTTCTAAAACATTAAAAAGTCAACATGTTCATAGTTTAAAAGAGGGGGCATTAGTTACATAGCTAGTGGATGACCTACAAATGGTTACACTACTGATGCCTTCCGTCTTACTCCAGCCAAAGTAGTGGACCGTCCTAAGACCATCCTTTGAGCAAAGTTTTGTTTCTGGCCTATAACTCCCTTAATTTCCAATTACACTGACCCCAAACTGTATTGTACATAGCTTAACATATAATAAACCAATTCCCATTGAAATAAAGATGAAACCTTACCCTATAATTATAGGATTTGATTAAACCCAACTGCTATACAAAATTTATGTTCATTTTAAAATGGCCGCCAAACCAGAATCACGTGTGTCATTTGTAACATAATTACTTATTTCCATGCAAATTGTGATGATAAAATCTAAAATCTCCAGCCATTAACTTACAATTTGGAAAACGTGCCTTTTCTTATACTGGTCCTTTTCTATGGAATAGACTACCACAATCAACTCAAAACATTCTTATTTCAAAACCGTGATCTGTAAATAATCAGTGAATATAAAAACCAACAGCGCCTTAGAAACTGTTTTCTTCAGTATTAACGCGCTTTATAAATGATGATATTATTATTATTATTATTATTATTATAATAACTGGTCAATATTAACACGCTTTATAAATGATGATATTATTATTATTATTATATGTGTTGAAAATATTGCAATTGAACCTAATTTTACTTGCACCAAGCCTTGAATAGTGTATCAATGGCACTTATATATAAGAATTATCAGGGCTGTAAATTGCAGCTAGCGGATGACCCAGTGCTGCAAGGGTTGATAGTAGTATAACTGGGAAACCGGGAGGCGGTAGCCCAACGCCCCCTGGCCCATGTAATTCCACAGTTCGAGCTACCCCTATTAGTGCTGGCACAATTTATTTTCACTTTCTCACAATTTGCGTATACAATATATTTATATATTCACCTGTAGTATACAGGTATATTTATCTTCACCTGTTGTATACAGGTGTGCTTATATATTCACCTGTAGTATACAGTATGTTTATATATTCACCTGTAGTATACAGGTAGGCCTATGTTTATATATTCACCTGAAGTATACAGGTGTGTTTATATATTCACCTGTAGTATACAGTATGTATTCACCTGTGTGTTCATATTTAACATGGTAAATGGTTTACAATGATGGATGCTGTTTCGCAGTAGATTCCAGACAAGTGTTGTTGTGTGTGTGTGTGTGGGGGGGGTCTCAGGAATATGTTTTTAATTTGATAACCATTGTAAATTACAGAGAGAGAGAGAAATGAGGTTTAACGTCCACTCGACACAAACTAGGTCATTTCGGGACTAACACAGGGTTCAATTTTATTTCAATAATTCACTTGTGCGTGGGGTCTTTAGCAGTGGGAAGAAACCGGAGGACCTGGAGAAAACCCACGAGGTTGGACAGGCGACCCTACTCCTTGTCACGTACAACCGAGGAATCGAAACCCCGCCAGTTGACTCAATGACAGGCCATATGATACAGCGCGCATGTGCTAACCATTCGGCCATCCAACCCCCCTTGTAAATTACAACATATGTTTCATTTATAAAGGGGGCCATGGTGGCTAAGTGGGTAAGACGCTGGCTCGCTAGCCTGGAGGTCGGGTGTTCGATCCCTGCATTGGCCGAGAAAGTTCATCCAGATTTTCCGGCGTGGTTTCCCCTTGTCAGTGATGCAGGACGGAGGGCCTGACAAGGACAGCTGTCTAGTCCTTCGGAGAGAGAGAGAAATGGGGTTTAAAGTCCACTTGACAGTCTAGTCCTTCGGATGAGATGGAAAACCGAGGTCCCGTGTATACATTGGAATGCATGTAAAAGATCCCTTGGCAGTTGGAATTCGACATAAGAGTAGGCGATAGTGCCTCGTAGCACACTGTATGGCGTATGCCCGTCTTCATTAGCCCAGTATAGGAACAGAACAGTAGGACGTTAAACTCCATTTCATTTCATTTCATTTATAAAGGTTGACTATGAGTTCTCATGTGGCTCTGTAGATCACGACGCTCAACAAATGATTTACCGCAAACATCACATTTATATGGTTTCCTCTTTTATATGAATTCTCCTACTATGTGCTTTTAGAGTGCCAGGTCTTGAAAATGATATACCACAAACATCACATCTAAAGGGTTTCTCCCTAGTATGAGTTATCATGTGTTCCTTTAAATTGCAACTTCTAAAAAACGATTTATTACAAATACCACATTCGTAAGGTTTTTCGTCAGTATGGTATCTCATGTGTTTTTTTAAATAGCTAACTCTAGTGAATAATTTGCTACAAACTCCACACTCAAAAGGTTTCTCCCCACTATGGGCCCTCTTGTGGCCATTTAGGCTGCCACTTCTAGAAAATGATTCACTACAAACATCACATTTATAAGGTTTTTCACCGGTGTGAATTCTTACGTGTCTCTGTAGATCAACAGTCTGTGCAAATGATTTACTACAAACATCACATTTATAAGGTTTTACACCTGTATGGGTTCTGATGTGTCTTTGTAAAGTACAATGAATAGTAAATGATTTACTGCAAAAATCACACTGATATGGCTTTTCACCTGTATGAATTCTAATGTGTGATTGTAGAGTACTACTATGGGTAAATGATTTACTACAAACATCACATTTATAGCGTTTTGCTAAAGCATGACTGTCGACTGATTGTAGGCCTTGATCAATACCATGACTGTCAGCTGGTTGTAGGCCTACATCAATACCCTGACTGTCAGCTGATTGTAGGCCTACATCAATACCCTGACAGTCAGCTGATTGTAGGTCTATATCACTACCATTATCAGCTTTCAACTTTTCTTCATCATGTATTTTACAATGTGTCTCTAAATCAGTATCTGATTTAAATTCTTCATCACATAAATTACACTGATAAACTGTTTCAATATCTTCAGTTTTCTCTTCTTTAACATGACAATATTCATCTACATCATCAGTTTTTGCTTCTTTAACATGACAATATTCATCAACATCATCAGTTTTCTCTTCTTTAACATGTATTGTATTGTGTTTTTTTAAATCATCTAGTTGTTGAAAAATCTCATCACATACAACACATTGATGAAATGTTTTAACATCATTAGTTTCCTGTAATATATAAGAGTTATAACATCATTAGTTTCGTGTAATATATAAAAGTTACAACATCATTAGTATCCTGTAATATATAAAAGTTATAACATCATTAGTTTACTGTAATATATAACAGTTACAACATCATTAGTTTCTTGTAATATATAAAAGTTTTAACATCATTAGTTTCTTGTATTACCCAGTACATAGTATGCTAGTTGAAATAACATCATTACTGGTAATTTCTTGTAATATATGTATATAAAATCTACATCAGTTTGCAGTAGTTCTAAATTTACAAATTCTAAAAAAATTGGCGTCTACAGGTGATATGACCTGATTTGGCATCTACATATGATATGGCCTTATTTGGTGTCTAAGGGGATATGACCATATTTGGCGTCTACAGGTGATATGACCTTATTTGCAAAAAACAAAAAAATCTTTCTTTACTGTCTCCCTGTCAGATTTACAGCTTATTTAAAGTTTATTTTCTTTTACTACTCATCTCTAATCATCTACAATGTAATATCTTTGCTGGAAGTAGACTACTTCATCTACTACTCATCTCTAATCATCTACAAAGTAATATCTTTGCTGGAAGTAGACTACTTCATCTACTACTCATCTCTAATCATCTACAATGTAATATCTTTGCTGGAAGTAGACTACTTCATCTAGATTTTTTGGAAGTGACATTTAGAAAGTTTTATCAAAATCAGTGTGTAAAAAAAAAAAGTTCTGTGCAATTTCTAAAAAATGAAAGATATGACAACCACATTTCAATTTTTGATCCCTCAGCAGTTGGAATTCGATATAAGAGTAGGCGATAGTGCCGCTGCCCTGGCAAATTGCTTAGGAAATGAAATGAAATGGGGTTTAACATCCTACTGTTCTGCTCCAACTAGGCTAATGAAAACGGGCATACGCCATACAGTGTGCTATGAGAGAAATTTTGCCTACTCTTATATCAAATTCCAACTGCCAAGGGATCTTTTACGGGCATTCCAATGTATACACGGGACCTCGGTTTTTCGTCCCATCCGAACGACTAGACAGCTGTCCTTGTCAGCCCCTCTGTCCTGCATCACTGACAAGGGGGAACCACACCGGAAAATCGGGATGAACTTTCTCAGCCAATGCAGGGATCGAACACCCGACCTGTTAATACATATGATATTACATTTCTTAGCACTGAATCTCATTCGCCAGGTATTGGCCCGGTTTTCGCCAGGTGTTGGCCCATGGTTTATCTTATTCATTGTCACCAATATACATTACTTTACGAGAGAGAGAGAGAAATGGGGTTTAACGTCCACTCGACGCAAACTAGGTCGTTTCAGGACTGACATATGGTTCAATTTTATTTCAATAATTCGCTTGTGCGTAGGGGTCTTTAGCAGTAGGAGGAAACCGGAGGATGGACAGGCAACCCTACTCCTTGTCAGGTACAACCGGGACTCGAAACCACGTCAGTTTTCTCAATTTACGAGAGAGAGAGAGAGAAATGGGGTTTAACATCCACTCGGTGCAAACTAGATCATTTCTGGACTGACATATGGTTCAATTTTATTTCAATAATTTGCATCTGCAAAGGGGTCTTTAGCGGTAGGAGGAAACTGGAGGATGGACAGGCGACCCTACTCCTTGTCAAGTACAACTGGGAAATCAAAACCACGTCAGTTGACTCAATGACAGACCTTATGATACAGCACGCACGCAGAAACCATTCGGTTATTCAACCCCCATATTGTACAAGTGTACAGGTATGAAGAATTTCAGTATGTTTTTAGCTTTTATTTTGATACATGTACAAGAGTAGGCTGTAGTGCCGCTGCCTGGGCCAAATTTCTCTCATAGCCTGTCTTCATTAGCCCAGTTGGAGCAGAACAGTGGAACAGTTTCCTATTATTCCACAGCAGTTGTATATGAAGAACAGTGATGGATCGATAATTGGTTTCATCATCGGTAATTGGCTGATAAGTGCCTAATCTGTAAAAATCGACCGAAACTCTGCCATTTTGTCGATACTGGCGTCACTGATATCTGTTCTAAAGAACTCAGTAAATACTGTTAAAATATCATTCGAGTTGTGAACAAATTATTATTTTACTTGACATTCGGTACCTTTATTTTAGTTGCTGTGTACGTGGCTATTTAGACAAAATACAAGACTCGATTACAGGCTGTAAATAGGAAAGAATAAACAGTGCAAAATCCTTGGGTAACTGTTTACTGATCGAGTCTGAATGCTGCTGCCTGGGTAACTGCCTGTTTACTGATCAAATCTGTACGCCTATGAGCACAAATGAAATGGGAGTTTAACGTCTTACTGTTCTGCTCCGAACTGGACTTATGAAAACGGGCATATGCCATACAGTGTGAATTACATGTCATTTCAGTCCCGCATCATTTCGGACTAAAAAAAATATGGCCTCGACATTTCGGACTCGGGTATGTGCATTTCGGACTCGGGTATGTGACGTTTCGGACTCGGGTAGGTGACGTTTCGGACTCAGGTAGTTGACGTTTCGGACTCGGAAATAAGTTGAACAGAGAGGTTGAAGACAACTGTCAAATCAATCTATAATAAACCAAAAGTGATTTTCTAAAAAAATAATATGCAGGTAAAATTTACCACTCGCAATCATCAAGTACAACTCGTGGATCACGCACCGCATACATGTAGATCTCTCAAGGAACTGCGAAATATTCAATGTTGAATTTTTGTGAAAAGAATGTTTTATTTCTTTGTATATCTGTAATATGTATATAAATTAAGTACATGTAGCTGATGAATTTATTAGAAGTAGGCCAGTTCAAAACACGATAGAAAATATTAACATGAAACACGTGGTTATTAAAAGACTCTACCAAACGATAAAACATAGTTGCACTTACGGTTCTTTATCATCGTTTCCCGTCAAATAAATTTATTTTTTTAAAAAAAGAATAATATGCTGTAGAATTTATTTCAAAATGACCTACACAAAAAACAAATGTAAATATTTACTCGACATGCACTGTTTTTACAAACCTTTAGATTTTTTTAACTATAGTCTGTAAGCTACACTTTGACATGCATATCTTGACTAGCTAGACATAGATAGCAGTACCAATCAATAAATTAGTGCGTACAAAGAAAACTCTTTTTGGAAAATATTAGAAATGGCAAAGATCAAAGTGGGATAATTAAAGCTGATTAAACGATAATCCCTATGTTATTGTAGTACGCTCAAAGAAACCTTACAGTCCTTTAGTGGACAAGGAAAAATGTGAGCTGTCAATCAGCAATAATGGCGGCCGTGTGTAGATTTGATTATTCCGACTCACGTAAAAGACATTTACATTGTAGGCTTTCACAATTATAAAAACATTAGCAGTTTACTAAATATACACAAATATTCAACAATATTTTATTGTCAAGTTCAATACTCGCCGATTAAACAAAACAAAATAGAACAAGCTGTGTAAAATCAGTGTTATCTTTTTATTTAGCGGTCTCAAGAATTGCCGATCAATTAAATAAAACAACTATCGGACTCACATAAAACGAAAACGAAAACAGCTATTACAAATATATCACACAAATTTTCAACAGTCTTTTAATCATTCATCTGAGTCTGAAACGTCACCAGACCGAGTTCGAAAAGTCGTCAAGTAAGCCTGAACTGTCGTCAAACTGAGTCCGAAAGGTCGTCTGTATTGAGGCCGAAATGACGCAGGACCGAAATGTCGTGCTATGCGGGAAATTTTGCACTGACAGCGGCACTGCGGCCTACTCTTATAAAAATACTGTCTGTTTGTCAAAACAGTAGGACGTTAAACCCCATTTCATTTCATTCTGTTTGTTTCTCATATTTTATTCTGGCCATTATATAGGTCAACATAGTTGTCGAGTTTTGATCTAGGTTTCGGTAAATGTGATTTTGGATAAACATGTTTTACTGGACAGCTATTGTTTGTCAGTGAGTTTTATTGTCGTTCAATAATGGCTCATTGAATAAACTACGACATTCATGTGGAATTTACCGACTACTCAAGTCTTTCAACTCGTGGGTATTATTTGGTCCGCATAAAATTCAGTAGGAAACTAGGAAACTTGCTTGAGTGAAGGAACGTTACTAATGAACAATACCTCTAGACCACAGGCACTTGAAGGGATTAAAATAAAATTTCTTACTACTGCTTAACTATAGTATATAATATATAGTCAAGCAGTAGTAAGAAATTTTATTTTAATCCCTTCAAGTGCCTGTGCTCTAGACGCCTTGTAGTAGATTACACTTTTAAGGGGAGATTTCGTACAAAAACATCTTACCATGCTGAATATTTACTTCTAGGTCACTGATTCACGCTGAAACAACATCTGGACAGTGTAATCTAAATTCACTTCCGGGGTATCATATTTTATGGTTGTATATTATTATAGACGCGGATCAACCCAACACGAATAATTCATCGTTCACATTCAAACTAAAAGTTCTGTATATTTTGTTGTTTAAAAATGTTGAAATCATCAGCAATAATAGAAACTGTGTAGATTCCTATAGAATTTTGTGTGAGTTCCGGACACCTGTTACCACTGTTTGTCGTGTATTTTGTACACGATGAGCAGTCCATTTGCTGATTACACTATTTTGCTTTAATACACTATTTTGCCTATAACGTTTTTAGGACTTCGAATTCTGTCTTATGGTTTGGATTGTTCGTACTTGGTTTTATTTTATTTCATTTTGTAAATCTATTCACAATACTTCAGCTCTGGAATAATTATAGTTTTGTATTGGATCCATTATGAAATGGGGTTTAACGACCTACGGTTCCACTCCCGACCGGGATAATGAAGACGGGCATATGCCATACAGTGTGCTATGGGTGAAATTTTGCCCAGGCAGCGGCACTATGGCCTACTCTTATATCGAATTCCAACTGCCAAGGGATCTTTTGCGTTCACACGAATGTATACACAGGTGTTCGCCCTATCCGAACGACAATACACCTGTCCTGCACCACTGACAAGGGGGAAACCACGCCGAAAAATCCCAGTGAACTTTCGCGGCCAATGCAGGGATCGAACACGCGACCTCCAGACTAGAGAGCCAACATCGTACTCACTGAGCCACCATGGCTCCGATCAGTGTCCGATTTCGGGCAGTACAGTAACACCATAGTTGTAATCTGATAATTTTAGGCATAGCTTCGGTCATCATTACTAAAGTTGTTACGATAAAAAATATTGTCTCGATCATCCATTTTTGGATTTAATTATCAATGAGCGTTGTGCAGCAGATCGTAACTAACGTACGAAAATTAAATGGTAGCTGGCTTTTTTTTTCGCACGTATACTGTGAATGGCCATTTTGCTCAGTAATCCCAGCCAGAATTTGACTATTTTTTTAAAATTGCGTTAAAGTTTTAAATTTTTGTTTAGAACTGAAATAAATTAACTTTTAGTCAATCCCCACACTAAAAACATTAACAGAATTGATTGTGTATATCTGAAATAGACACGACCGAAGCACAAAATAGTGCCAATATGCCGACGTCAAATCTAGAGTTGTAGATGATGTTATTTATGTGAAAAATCATTGGAAGAAGCGATAAGACGTTCTGTACGGATTATACAGTCCTAAAGGCTGCAAGAAGACTATTGTTTACAATGTAACATTGTGTCTTGTAATGTTGATAATGATCATAATGATGGTGTTTACATTTGTTTGTTGACGTGACCTCATGACCTGTGACGTTTAGATAACGTCATATGGATATCACGGCTATTCCCTGTGTCAGAGTCACTGCTGGCACATAAGATGGTATTGAGAGTTGTTTGAGGTCTTTTGATGATAATAAATGTTTAATTAATAGTTTAGATAATATTTCAGGCCTAAAGAAAGACCTGCAATAGGCAGATTTAACTCTTGCATAATGTATGTTTAATTAATGTCTAATTAATAATTTAGATAACATTTCAGGCTTAAAGAAAGACCTGCAATAGACAGATTTAGCTCTTGCATATAATGTATGTTTAAAGTTGCATAATGTTTGTATAAGTTTGACTGGATAACGTTTATCGAACGTAGATTGTAATAGATCATTCAATTGTGTTGCTTTAAAGGGCTGGCTTGACAGCTCCAGAAAATAAAAAAATAGCCTTATTCTAAGTACTAGATGTGTTACACACTGATCCGCAGTGAATATTTGCTAGGCCGCTACAATCACTGATAAGGATGACATCGATGCGGCTTAATGAGCCAGAAATATTAACTTTTTTCCTGCGACAATTTAAATTCTAAAACATTTGACGTATTTATAGGTAAAAATTATTTCCTATTTAGTGTAAATGGGTATTAAAATGACTAAAATGCAGCATTCTCTCCAAGGCAGTAACGTCTTATGTAAACAATGCATGCGCCATTCAGCCAATAATTGACGCCGCGTGCTGTGACAGCACGTGTTAAGGCAGTCATCTTTGACAGAGATATATCATTAGACTCGTAATTCTCTGTAAAACAGATTGGATGTGTTAGTGTCTTACCTGTTGTGTAAATTATCCATTAAATCCTATTTTACTTGTCCAGAGGGTTCAAAAATATTTTTAAATCCAAGTCACATTTGAAAAGCTTTACGTCAGGCTTTTCAAATCATTTAGTTGAATTTTTCCAATTTTTTAAATTAGGTGTGTTAAGATCAAATTTGTATCATCAATTAATTGGAATATTGTAAAAATAGTACAATTTGTTGACCAGAATAAGAGAGAGAGAGAGAGAAATGGGGTTTAACGTCCACTCGACACAAACTGGGTCATTTTGGGACTAACATATGGTTTAATTTTATTTCAATAATTCGCTTGCGCGTAGGGGTCTTTAGCAGTGGGAGGAAACCAGAGGACCTTGAGAAAACCCACGAGGTTGGACGGGCGACCCTACTCCTTGTCACATACAACCGGGGATTCGAAACCACGCCAGTTGACTCAATGGTAGGCTTTATGATACAGCACGCACATGCTAACCATTCGGCCACCCAACCCCCCTGACCAGAATAAAGATTGGGACATATTATTCAGTTACAACAAGAGTGGTATTCAGCCTTCAATGTGTATGCCAATTATCTAGATTTACTGTGCTATAGAACGGCGGTATTACCTAGTTCAGACAATTATCTAGATTTACTATGCTATAGAACGGCGGTATTATCTAGTTCAGACAAAATCTAATTCGAAGTTCACATTTTTTAGATTTCGTGCTTGACGCGTCTGGACTGGACAATCAGTAGGTTGGATCTTTATACATACATTATGCAAGATTTTTTGAGGTGCCAAACAATTTTTTACCCCATATATTCCCGCGGGAAAGGAATTAACAGTTAGTTTAGTTCGGATATCGTAATTTACCCCGAAACGAGTCGGTTGGTGACCTGGTGGATTGCCCGTCAATCCGCCCACTGAGGGCCGGGCTTCACACTCCCAAATGGGGGCAGCACGCCCCCGCTTTCTGAAAATCCTGGATCCGCCCCTGAGGGATCCCTTAAATTCATTGAGGGGGATAGGATGGTCGAATGGTTAGTGCATGCGGGCTGTTTTATAAAGTCTGTCATTGAGTCAACTGGTGTGGTTTCCATTTCACACATGAAAGTGACAAGGAGAAGGGTCGCCTGTCCAACCTCGTGGGTTTTCTCCGGGTCCTCTGGTTTCCTCCCACTGCTAAAGACCCCTACGTCCAACTGCTTAGAACTAGGGGGCCCCATTTCTCTCTCACTTTAAATTCATTGAAGAATAAATCTGCAGATTTTCCTGGTGGATGATATATAATTATTATCCATATCCAGTGACAAGATGACATCCTAGTCGGGTTCTGGGCGTGAAGTCATATACCTAGTTCTAAGCAGTTAGTCTAGAGAGAGAGAAATAGGGTTTAACGTCCACTCGACACAAACAAGGTCATTTCGGGACTAACATATGGTTTAATTTTATTTCCATAATTCGCTTGTGCGTAGGGGTCTTTAGCAGTGGGAGGAAACCGGAGGACCCGGAGAAAACCCACGAGATTGGACAGGCGACCCTACTTGTCACGTACAACCGGGGATTCGAAATAACGCCAGTTGACTCAATGATAGACTTAATGATACAGCGCGCATGTGCTAACCATTCGGCCATTAAACGCCCAGTTAGTGTAGATCTGGATTAGAAAATGAAATGAAATGGGGTTTAACGTCCTACTGTTTTGCTCCGAACAGGGCTAATGAAGACAGGTATACGCCATACAGTGTGCTATGAGGGAAATTTTGCCCGGACAGCGGCACTACGGCCTACTCTTATATCGAATTCCAACTGTCAAGGGATCTTTTACATACACGCCAATGTGTACATGGGACATTGGTTTTTCATTCCATCCAAACGACTAGACAGCTGTTCTTGTCAGCCCCTCCGTCCTGCATCACTGACAAGGGGGAATCACGCTGGAAAATCTGGATGAACTTTCTCGGCCAGTGCATGAATCGAACACCCGACCCCCAGTCTAGCGAGCCAGCGTCTTACCCACTTAGGCACTGTGATCCCCTGATCTTGATTAGTAATCTAAATGAAGTTGATACAGATCATATTTCTGAATAGTGTAGAATTTTTTTATTCAGGAATATTCTCGGAGAATTGATTCAACGTGTTTTTCTAACCATTACGCCACTTGCCTGTTATTCAATCTGGGTCAGGTGACACCGGTTTGCGATTCTTGTTGTCAAGCGAGCTGGTTGAGTTCAGGCCCGATGACCCCGGTTCGCGATTCTTGTTGTCAAGCGAGCTGATTGAGTGAAAAACGGAGCACAACGGAAATATTGGCCAATTAACAAGACAGCTACCTGTCAACTAGAAATAATATTTAGGGTTATTGAAACATTTCTGATATCAAATTCCCGCTGCCAACCAACCCAACATGGAATCAATGCCCCTTGGGGTCCCCCCTAGTAATTTCGACAATCATCTAAAAAAAAAGGCCACCTTATTTAACAATTTTGATGGAAATGGGTCTTCATTACTATATTTTTTTATAAAATATAGATTTGTTTTTTTGTCACACGGGGGGTTGGATGGCTGAATGGTTAGCGTGCGCGCGCTGTATCATAAAGTCTGTCATTGAGTCGACTGGCGTGGTTTCGAATCCACGGTTGTACGTGGCAAGGAGTAGGGTCGCCTGTCCAACCTCGTGGGTTTTCTCCGGGTCCTCCAGTTTCCTCCCACTGCTAAAGACCCCTACGCGCAAGCGAATTATGTAAATAAAATTAAACCGTATATGTTAGTCCCGAAATGACCTAGTTTGTGTCGAGTGGACGTTAAACCCCATTTCTCTCTCTCTCTTTTGTCACAAGAGCGCATTTGCTTCTCTTGCCCTTGCCATGATCTGTCACTGTCCGTAGACTTTTCTGTTTTATAGTCCAAACATTCAAATGTTTTGTTTTGGTGACCTTGGTGTACACGGGACCTCGTTTATAGTTACACGTTAGTGAATATATGCAGGGCCGTAACTAGCTCAGAGCAACGATGGGGGCGGGAAGAGGTCTCAGGAGTGCTTTAAAATTGACAGACAATGTATATCTATTTTTCTTATGGTTGACATTTTTTCACAGGGGGTGGGGGGGGTGCTTTTTGCAGTGGGGTGCTTCGCCCCTCCTAGTTACGGGCCTGTGTATATATGGAACCTTGGATATACGTGCACGTCAATGTGTATATGGGACCTTGGTTATATGTGTATGTCAATGTATATATGAGACCTTGGTTATATGTGCACATCAATGTGTATATACGTACTAACTGATTGACAAGACACTCCGCCAGCGGCACTGAGAAGGGAAAACTGCTGAAATATTGTGAGGAATTTTCTCAGCCAACAACAGGATTGAAACCGGGACTTGTTTAACAACCCATCGACTTACTGACTGAACCACGTTGTTCAACAGTTAAAGTGTCGCTGTTGTTCTACAGTTAAACTGCTGTTGTTCTACGGTTAAACTGCTGTTGTTCTACAGTTAAACTGCTGTTGTTCAATAGTTAAACTGCTGTTGTTCTACGGTTAAACTGTTGTTGTTCAATGGTTAAACTGCTGTTGTTCTACAGTTAAACTGCTGTTGTTCTACAGTTAAACTGCTGTTGTTCTACAGTTAAACTGCTGTTGTTCAATAGTTAAACTGCTGTTGTTCTACGGTTAAACTGTTGTTGTTCAATGGTTAAACTGCTGTTGTTCTACGGTTAAACTGCTGTTGTTCTACGGTTAAACTGCTGTTGTTCTATGGTTAAATTGTCACTGTTGTTCTAATTAAAGCCAACACCAAAAAAAAAATTTAAAATTCATGGTTTATTGTTATACATTTCGTTTAAAGTAGCTAAGTGTCTAACTCAATATCATCCAAATTCTTCGACATTGAAAACACGAATTATTTGTCAATTTAAATCAACATTGATATTGTCCATAATAACACTCACTCAGTGACTACAAGTGAATATTATGAGCAATACCACGTAAAAAGTCCAACACTTGGTGAATGTTGAACTTATAATGTCCAGTACACGCTCTGTTCGGTCTCTATACTTCGTGTGTTGAACAGGCTGTTCTCCGGTTATTATCAGCTCCATAGTAACTTCTTGTAGAGCTTGGTGTTTCTTCAGGGCATCTAGAAACTTCCATATGTTGACATGGCAACAACTAACTGGAACCTGAAATCATCTGTGCCACCCTTCTATATTGTTGTTCATTCTTGGAAGCTGGACCATAGTTCAATTATATACATATTCCTACGGTTACAACTATCAGGTCTCCAAATGTCGGTATCATTATGAAGTCAAGATTGGATTCATTGTCTGTTTGGTAACGTTGATGAGGTCCCGACGTTTGCAATTTACGGTATATCTCAGTTTCAGGAAAAGCTCTCTGGATAGACTTTTTTTTTAGTAATCTTAAAGTCATTAATGGCAGACAACAGACGAAAATCTGACTTTAAAACTAGCAACTGGGAATACACCCGGAAATTGGTATCCCCAGTCTTGTTTTTAAGTAGAGCACCAACACATGGAACTATGTGGTTGTCGATAGGAGCATGTATGGTGTAAATCTGGTAAAATATTTCAGGTGCAACTTTAGCGGTTTCATCAGCCAACCGATGATCGGTTGAGGTCGGGACCCTCAGGTTTGTCACTGTTGAAATTGAATATAGTAAAATTCCACCTGGATTGTTTGTACCACTGCCAGACAGAAGGAAAGATTCCCCATTAAAATTTTCTTTGTATTGGTCCGGTATTTTCATGGCCTGTTGAGTTGGTGGTAGAGGTACCAGCTTTCCTGGTAGTAGTCTTGAAACATCTTATAGTACGTTTGAGGTGTCTAATAGGTGGAAGCCGGGAAATGGTTCCTTCTGGTAGTTTTGAGACTGCAGCAGTGACAATTGGTTCTGCAATCTCTTGAGTTCCAGTGGATTGACTCTTTACGGTATTTTTCACCCCAAGAATCATTTGACGTACTGGGTCACCAGCATGAGTTTGTTCACTTTTTCTGACTGGCTGACCTCTCCTCTCTGGATCTTTACTGCGGTTTTGCATTTACCATGTCTGCGTTTCTCGCATTCCCAGACAACAGCACCATTAGCAAGGACTTTTGCAAATTTACTGTTCATTTTATTATAAACATTGTGCTCAATTTTCAATTATGCTTATTTATGTGATTAACTTTGAAATAAAATTAACAGCTATGTTATAATGTTTTGATAATGATTAATGTATAGATACATTATAGTGTGCATTCATCAAGTAATAAACTATATTAAAAACAAATAAAATCACTGGCAATAAGATTAACAGTTATGTTTTTATAACGATTACATATAATGGTGATGAAAAACGTCGAGGGTTTCTTAATATCTAAAGAGTTCCTGTGACTGTTCAGGTGTAACTGTTAAACTAGGTGTGGCACTGATTGGTGCACTTATAAAAAACATCGACTGGACTGCACTGACATACTTGTGGAGACTTCAAAGGACATAGCTGTAGGACCTCCGAAACCAGTTTTAGACAATTCTGATGATAAAGTTTTGATAATTTGTTTGTTTTCATCAGGGCTATGTGACTATGTCAACTGTTCTCCATAATGAGGTACAGATACTTTCTTTGAAAGTAATAAAATGGGTGTGGGAACTTGATTTTCAGGTTATTGCAAATGCTTTGAGTTTGGACTAATACTGTATTTTTCAGTCATGGCCGAGGCGTCTAATTTGCATATTCTGTATTATGCAATACCACTGTGATGTTCTCCTAGTGTTTTTCGGCACCCTTGACCCTGAAATTATGAGCGTAGATACTGGTTTCATGGAGTTAAGTCAAAAAGTTTCAGATTTAGGGGGAAATATAAGTTTTTCACTAATGGCGGCTGTTAATTTGCATATTGTGAATTATGTAATAAAGTGATTATATTCTAAATGTGTTTATTTGCGTCCCAGGTCACGAAACATGGGTTTAGACACAATTTCCACCAAATTTGAACATTTAATAGCCAAGTTATAGCATTATGTCAATTTTTGAAATATGAAATTATGCTAATTAGCATACTACGCAATTTAACCCATTTCCACCAAAAATATTTTGGAACATTTTTGGGATGTTGTTTAGGGGACTATACTGATATGCATCCCAGTGAAATTAATTCTGTTGCAATTTGTTTTGGGTCTAACCCCAGATTGACTGGACTACTGATATTATATTTTTTGGTACGGAGGGAGGCTTATATTACATAACTAACAGATAACTCTGCACTGCACGGGTGAAAAGTAGTATAACTCTGAAACTGGAAGTCCAACGCCACCTATTACTCCCATGTCCGAGTCTCAGGACAGCCCTAATGTATCCGCTAACCCTGGACAGACAAACGACAGTTACAAATATTAGTATATCTTATGTAATAAAGAGAGAGAGAGAGAGAGAAATGAGGTTTAACAACCACTCAACACAGACTAGGTCATTTCGGGATTACTCCTTGTCACATACAACCGGGGAATCGAAACCCCGCCAGTTGACCCAATGACAGACCGTATGATACAGCGCGCGCGCGTGCGTGCTAACCATTCGGCCATCCATTTATTCACCTGTAATATACAGGTATGTTTATTTATTCACCTGTAGTATACAGGTATGTTTATTTATTCACCTGTAATATACAGGTATGTTTATATATTCACCTGTAGTATACATTATGTTTATTTATGTTACATAATATGTTACATTTATAAAGGTCGATTATGTGTTCTCATGTGGCGCTGTTGATTATAACTGTAGTATACATTACCGGTATGTTTATTTATGTTACATAATATGTTACATTTATAAAGGTTGATTATGTGTTCTCATGTGGTGCTGTTGATTATAACTGTAGTATACATTACCGGTATGTTTATTTATGTTACATAATATGTTACATTTATAAAGGTCGATTATGTGTTCTCATGTGGCGCTGTTGATTATAACTGTAGTATACATTATGTTTATTTATGTTACATAATATGTTACATTTATAAAGGTCGATTATGTGTTCTCATGTGGCGCTGTTGATTATAACTCATGGAAAATGATTTACTACAAATATGACATTTAAATGGCCTCTCTCCTGTGTGTTTTCTTCTGTGTTTTACAAGTTCAGATGAGGAAGTAAAAGATTTATCACAAACATCACACTTAAAAGGTTTTTCACCATTATGATGTCTCATTTTATGTGTTTGTAAGTTTCCAAACTGTGTGAATGATTTACTACAAACATCACATTTATAAGATTTTTTCCCAGAATGTGTTCTCAGGTGAAGCTTTACAGCATTGCTGTGAGTAAATGATTTACTACAAACATCACATTTATAACGTTTGACTCCTGTATGAATTGTCATGTGGCTTTGCAGATGATGTTTTGTAATAAATGATTTACTACAAACATCACATTTATATGTTCTGTCTTCAGTGTGAATTCTAACATGGCTCTGTAGAAAACCACGTTCAGCAAACGATTTACCACAAACATCACATTTATAAGGTTTCTTACTTGTATGAATTCTCTTTTTGTGTGCATGAAGACCAGTTCTAGTAAATGATTTACTACAAACATCACATTTAAAAGGTTTCTCTACAGCATGAATTATCATGTGTTCCTTTAGATTGCAACTTCTTGAAAATGATTTACCACAAACATCACATATATAAGGCTTTTCTGCAGTATGAATTATCGTATGTTGCTTTAGATAGTTACTTCTTGAAAATGATTTACCACAAACATCACATATATATGGTTTCTCACATTTATGAATTCTCTTGTGTTCGTGAAGACCAGTTCTAGTAAATGATTTACTACAAACATCACATTTATAAGGTTTCTCTACAGCATGAATTATCATGTGTTCCTTTAAATTGCAACTTCTTAAAAATGATTTACTACAAACATAACATTTATAAGGTTTTACTGCATTATGAATGATCATATGTTGCTTTAGATAGTGACTTCTAGAAAATGATTTACCACAAACATCACATATATATGGTTTCTCACCAGTATGAATTCTCCTATGTCTTTGTAGATCAACATTCTGTGTAAATGATTTACTACAAACATCACATATATAAGGCTTTTCGCCAGTATGTATTTTCATGTGTGTCCGTAGATTACAATTCTGGGTGAATGAACGACTACAAACATCACATTTATAACGTTTTCCGACAGCATGATTGTCAGCTGATTGTAGGCCTACATCAATACCATGACTGTCAGCTGATTGTAGGCCTACATCAATACCATGACTGTCAGCTGATTGTAGGCCTACATCAATACCATGACTGTCAGCTGATTGTAGGCCTACATCAATACCCTGACAGTCAGCTGATTGTAGGTCTACATCACTATCATTATCAGCTTTCAACTCTTCTTCCACATGTATTTCACAATGTTTCTCTAAATCAGTATCCGATTTAAATTCTTCATCACATAAATTACACTGATGAACTGTTTCAATATCTTCAGTTTTCTCTTCTTTAACATGACAATATTCATCTATATCATCACTTTTCTCATCTTTAACACGAACATGACAATATTCATCTACATCATCAGTTGTCTCTTCTTTAACATGTATTTTATTGTGTTGTTCTAAATCATCAATTTGTTGAAAAATCTCATCACATACAACACACTGATGGAATGTGATAACATCATTAGTTTCCTGTAATATATAAAATTTACAGCATCTTCAGTTTCCAGGAATATTATTGAAATATATTGAAATAAAATTGAACAATGTTAGTCCCGTGGATGTGTCAAGTGGATGTTAAATCTCATTTCTCATGAGTTTTAAAATTTTTTCATATCAAAAAAGATGGGTAAGAGATTATATTCATCACCTTTTCTTACTTGCACAAATAATTAGAATTAATTTCTTTGGTATAAATTTAATTTTACCGAATCTGATTACATTACGGCGTAGTGATACATGTATGTCATTTTTTGACAGGAAGTTACATGATGCAAAGTCCGATATATTGACCCAGTGTTTTGTTTAATGTTATGGGGACTATTGTCATTGTTTATGGTAACTGAGAACTTTTCTCCAACAATATTACTGGATCCAAAAAGTTGTTCCTTTTTTTAATAAAAAAGTAGTTCCTTTCTAATTAAGCAATCAGTAGTATATGAAGGTTATCACACAAGCAATATCTACTGTAGAATGTAGTATTGGGTGATAAATAACATTTCAAGGCTCTACTATGACTATGAGAAAGAGAGAGAGAAAGAGCGAGAGAGAGAAATGGGGGTTTAACGTGGACACAACTAGGTCATTTTGGAACTGACACAATTCGCTAGCACGTATGTGTTTTTAGGAGTGGGAGGAAACTCACAAGGTTCGACAGACCACCCTACTCCTTGTCACATACAGGGAATGACAGACATTATGATACAGCAAGCACATGCTAACAATTCGCCTAACCATTCGCCCCCCCTCCCCTGGGGGATGAGGTTGAAAGTGCACTACTGCCAAATTCACTCGAAACTAAACTTACCATTATGTTATTACCAAAGTTGATTTGGTAGCTTGTCTGATTCAGCTGTATATTGTTCCTGGTTCTGGATTCAGTTTGCTCCGACTGACAGTATCTTACCAAAGTTGCTATGGTAGCGGTAGCGTGTCTGATAAAGCTGTATGTTGTTCCTGTGAGTAGATTCAACTGGTTTCCTGAATATAAAAACAACAAAATTGAAAGAGAGAGAAATGGGGTTTAACATCCACTCGACACAAACTAGGTCATTTCGGGACTAACATATGTTTTAAAAAAAAAAAAATTATTTCAATAATTTGCTTGCGCGTAGTGGTCTTTAGCAGTGGGAGGAAATCGGAGAAAACCCACAAGGTTGGACAGGCGATCCTACTCCTTGTCACGTACAACCGGGGATTCGAAACCACGCCAGTTGACTCAATGACAGGCCGTATGATACAGCACGCGCGTGCTAACCATTCGGCCATCCCCCCCTCCCCCAAATTGAAAGTATTAAATCATTTGACTCAAATGTTGTTTTATGTGGATATATTTCCATTGTAGGAAACAAAATGGTTTACTTCTTAAAGTAGCTAAATCTCTAACTTAATATCATCCGAATTCTTCCACATTGAAGACACAAATTATTTGTCAATTTAAATCAACATTAATATTGGGAAAATATGGACTTCTGATATCCAATATTAAAGATAAAACAAATATTAAAGACAGACACGAATCGCGTACCATAATGTGTTTCAGCGCCATTTGTAACAAGGGACTCGATGAATGAGGCTAGACATATTCCACAAGTCATGTCAAATGGTGACACCATATTCTTATCTGGAGAGTGGAGAGCATGCGCAAGCAGATAACTCGGAATTCTCCAAACACAAGAAAGAGATGAGTGCGTTTTGACATCGCCTCGTTGACATCGCTGTGTCCAGACCTTTCAGCGTGTTATCTTGCTTGGAATTTAAAGAAAATGACACATGCTTTCTGATTTATTGTTGGTGCAACATAATTGACCATGTTTATGCTTCCAGTTAGTCAAAATGACGGCATGCGGTGCTCAGTTGCAATAGCCTTCTATAGGGAAATTCACAAAGGCTGTGGTCTATTGGTGCTGGTCAGTTCATCCCACAACCGTTTCACCCCGGGCTGTTTCATCCCAACCTATTTTTTTATCGGGCTGTTTCATCCAGGGCTGTTTCATCCCCCTTGTTATTATAATAGCAATCAATTAACTGAGTTGTACTTATCATTTAATAAACTGTTAAACACTTACTTATTGTTAAATAAACACAATAATGTATGGAATAAATAAGTTATACTCGTCGATTTTTATTGATTACCGATCACGACCGAGATTAGTTCACCGCTGTATATTCGTATTGTTTATTAATTGGCATTATGATTTTAGATTTTAGGTCAGTTCACCGATGTTTTTGTAGTAAAGTATATTTGTATTGTTAGTTAATTGCCGTTATGATTTTAGATTAGTTCACCGATATTTTTGTAATAAAGTATACTCGTATTGTTTGTTAGTTTATGATGTCTAACATCATTTTACTTCTTTATAAAATGGTATTTTATAATTACATATTGACAGCTTAATCACTCGTCAAAATACATCACCCAATAATCAACTAAATTGTGCAGAGTCCCTTTTAGATTGATATTATTTCGAAACCATAATTAATCTTAAAACTGATCGTTGATTTAAATTCATTACATGAAATGGAACTACACAACTCCAAATGTAAGAATTCCGAATAAGAATCAATTTAGAATACCAAAATGCAAATCGTAACACATTGTGGTCTAAACTATGTGATCAATTATAAAATAAATCGTAAATCAATGGAACCTGTTGTAAGGTGGACACTTCATGAGGTGCCATGTAATCTGAACATCTGAAGATAACACATGTCGAAATAGTGGCTATGTGCAATTTTATTCTTTGATCTGTTCTATCAGGGCAATCCTGTTATAGTGAAACCAAGATGCATGAAAATGACTATACAGTGCATTACAGTTGAATGTTTTACGTATGAGCATTGCTCGATTGTAAGCGATGTAATTTTAGTGAAATTAGTGTCGAGAATTGGCGTAGGTTAGGAAAATAAGCTAAAGCGTATGCAAAGGAAGAAGTTGGACACTATTCATGTTAAAATTGCATCGGCATATTCTATAAATAAAATATTCGGAAAATAAGCTAAAGGAAGCTAAAGGATGAAGTTGGACACTATTCATCATGTTAAAATTGCATTGACATATTGTTATTGGTATTAATGTATAAATAAAATATTAAAAATTCATGTTTTTTAAATTTGTGGATGAAGCGACCCAATATAAGTTGGATGAAAGGACACGTGTAAATTTGGGATGAAACAGCCCGAGATGAACCGGTATTGGGATGAAACGACCTGCTCCCATTCACGGAAAAATCAAAACGAGACTGCAGATATGCATAAATGACAATTCGTTTTTTGGGGGTATATTTTTCCTTTGTAAAAATATTTAGAATGACTTTTAAAATTCCGCAGGGCCAAAAATATTCTAATAGGCTCAATACCACTCTTGTTGTAACTGAATAATATGTCCCAATCTTTATTCTGGTCAACAAATTGTACTATTTTAGAATATTTCAATTAATTGATGATACAAATTTCATCTTAACACACCTTATTTAAAAATTTTGAAAAATTCAACATAATGGTTTGAAACGTCTAACGTAAACCTTTTCAAATGAAACTTGGATTTAAAAATATTTTCGAACCCTCTGGACAAGTAAAATAGGATGTAATGGATAATTTACACAACAGGTAGGACACTTAAACATCTACTGTCTGTTCCAAGAGATACTCTGACTCTCAAATTCCTTGCCATTTCTTCAGTTTTTAATTTCAACGGCCAAAAATTGGTGACATACCTGAAATTGTCACCCCGTTGCTCGCTTTGTCGAGCCCTAACGCCTAAAAATTCGATAAGATCCACTCTCCTCTTGAAAATTTCACATATTTCGACATTGTTTCTTTCTCAAAACATCAACATTACGAGTGCGTCTGCGTAATGGGAGACTTGCATTTCGCGTATAGGGTAGACAGGTATCTCCTAATCGGGTACATTCGGTTAGAAATATATAGTGAAGGAAAATTCGCCCGTTTCTTTTGCGGCAGTAATACTTAGGTTTCAGGCTGTGGATCATGTTTTTTGGTCGGATTAATAATATGTTCTGTTTTAACCCGCTTATTTTGCAGAAACGGCGCATTAAGCCACTCGGTTTTAGGGAGTAAGGTCTAGAGATTTGACATTTTTATAAACACTTTATTAGTTTTGCAAGGTTCTGATCAGCTGTATATAAATATTCAAAATATATTTGTCCAGATTATTTCCCTTTGGCCTTGCAGTTTTTAGCCTATATATAAACTAAATAATAATTATCCGATTGACACAGAATCAACGGCATGGTATACATGTTGGCACTATCTATAATAATAATTAATACAAAATATTATCTTATCGCAAATTAGCTGATATATATCTGGATAATCCTCGTAAATATGCAGAGCAAGGCGGGAATCGATTTTCGTACTCCGTTTTCCCACAAATGTTATTTAACTTTTTTATTTTATAATATTTGTATTCTAAACATTTATCTAGGGTTGAAATATAACATCAACCAAATATCCATGAATCATTTTGAATTTTTGTTATTTCTGAGAAATAGGCAGTTTTGTGGGAGTCACTTTTCAAAAGAATAAAATATTGTTCTATTTTAATGACATTTGCTAGATTTGATACTGCAGCTGTAAATTAATGTAACATTCTTGTCATTAGAAATTTTAAAACTTTTAAAATTCCACATATCGAAAAGCACAAACCACTGCGAACATATGAATATATCAAAAGATAGTTTGTAACTTTATGCAATTGTCCAAAGTACCTTTTTACGTTGTTTACCCACAGACATCTACAGTGATTTTGAAAAAAAACAAAACATATTTTCAACCCTTAAAGCAAACATGTTTTTTATTTTAAAGAGTGTTATTCAGTGCCATTAAATAATGATGTTTACTAATTTCGTTTAAGTAATATTGTATAGATATACGACCAAGCATTGGTCATTTTGTAAGGGTTCCACACGTTAACATGCTATCATAAATGGCAATTTCGCCTAAATAGTTAACACGTGTAACATGCTCATGGGAATATGTTAAGTGACGTCCGTTAAAGGATTACGAGCACCGGTGAAACCCGTCATGACTGCCCAAATAGTTAACACGTGTAACATGCTCATGGGAATATGTTAAGTGACGTCCGTTAAAGGATTACGAGCACCGGTGAAACCCGTCATGACTGCATGGCAGTTAAAGTTTTTCATAATTTTCTGAGCTCTTTCTAAACCCCCTTTTTGCAACATAAATACCGTTATTTTAATATTCCTCACAGTTCACTGCTGGATCTTAGATATTCATAGAATAGTTATTTGACAACAGTTCAGATTTATTTCAGATATTCAGCTAGAAAAGACAAAAAAAGCGAATCTTCGAAAATATAACCCCTTGAATAATCGATTATTGTTATCTACAGTTTATTATTTAAAGATGAAAATTACGCGAGATGTCAAGGAATTAACCAAACTATTATGTAGTTATTTCGAGAAACAGAATTATTTACTCCTCGCAGTGTTTCATTTGAATAGATCTAATCCCACTTAACACTGCTGTAATGGAAGCAAATTTCTGTTCCAAATTATGACTGGTCAATAGTCTGATTAACAACCAATAGCTAACTGCGTAACAATTTCATTAGGCTTTAAACAGGGCTCCAAATTGGACCAAATATCTTTACATAACGTTACGTCATGACTCAAGAAATATACGCTCAATTAACCAGTACATAGCCAAAATTGCAGAAAAACTTATTGCGTGACAAACGAGGCTGTCAAAACGGATACAATATAAACAATACTGTTTGGGGACGAATAATACTTTCACCGTTTTTAATATCTTAAATCACTGTCAAAAGTTTCAGGGAAGACCCCAGATTAAACGAAGCGCTGTGATGTTGCTCTACTTGGGATAGATTTGATTGAACGGGAAGAATAGACACACTCCCGCAAAAGCTCAAGTATCAGAAGTCAATCCAGCAATGGCCAGAAAGGGATTTCTCGAGACAGGATTATGTGTTCTGCGTTGCATAACCTTGATTGAAGATATGGAATGAAATGATGTAATTGATGTTTAATGGCACGCCAGCATCAACCGGGCGCAATCTGGTTAATAATAAAACACAGATCCTATTTAGTTTCGTTTTTATAGTTCAAAATTTCGTTTTACTTGTCTTTACTACACTTGGATCTGGAAGAGTTGTTATTTAACTCGTGTTCTGAATGGTGTCGGGGATAAGCCAATGAAACGGTCTGTTACGGCGAGCTTTAGGTGTGTTTTTCACGGAACTGTGGGTAATCCACTAGTAACATCAATGCTGATTGGTTAATCAAATGTCTGACGTCATAGGGTCATAAGTCGGTCTTTTCACCCCTGACGTGACTTGTCAGACCTTCATGTAGTGTAGGCCATCGAAAGTATAAAAAATGAAACGAAATATAGATCTGTATTTTAATCAGATTGAACCGGGCGATAATACGCCAGACATAATTATTATATAAATATCGTTTTACTTTTGTTGTAGGCTTCACGAGAAATTAGGTTACATATACATTTAGTCTAATCATCGCTCCAGCCTAAATTCAACTTTAAATTGTCTAAAGGCAAAGTCGTAAGCAAGGCAATAACTTATATTAACTATGCAATCCGCGATTACTTTAGCATATTATGGACCACATGCAGTTCAGGATAAATGAATATATGAATATCAAAACGCTACAGCCCTCGGGGCCAATTAAATATTCAACTCAGTTGGACAAACTGCGGTGGTCTTGGATTCCGTAAAAGTTATATTCTACTGGGCCGAAACAACTTCCTTGACATCCAAGTAGACAGAAACGACTCGAGCCAAACCAACGCCCCCTCCTTCTTCGACTCTTCCGGATAACTAGGTCAAACATGGCTGATGTTCAACAGCGGGATGTAAACAAACTATGATTTTCCATGAGAGAGAAGTTATGTAGCTTGATCTGAATTTGGTTTCCTCGTGTAAGAAAGTAATGGGATGGCAATTCCAGGTATGTCACTAAGTTTTAGTCGTCTAAATTAAAAATTGAAGAAATGGCATGCAATTTTCGTGTCGTAGTGTCACCTGGAACAGACAGTAGTACTTAGATAGAGATATTATTTATTTTCTGGAGCTTTCAAGCCAGCAAGAGTGTTATTGTCCCTTTAACGATATTTTTCCTATTAAAACAACTTTTTGCGGTAGTATTCTCCTTTAACTCAACTCCTATGTGGATACATGAATCACCCATTCCAAAAAAAGGGCGTGTCACTGTTGCATTGTGGGAGATCGGTGAGCAAACTTCTCGTAAGCCGCCATTAGCTTGCATTGGATTATCTGACCAAATTTCGAAAAACGCCGATTTTACGTTAATTGTAGTGATGGGGGATATTTCATATGATGTGATAGAGACACAGATGGTTGATGCACGCAAAGAATACCTCAGAAAGCACATTTTGAAGTATACAGATCGCAAAAAGGTAAAATTAAAACGTCAAAACAAACAGCTGTCAAAACTTAACCATACAACATGAGTAATAATAGTAATTAATTTTAAAATATATAAATGAATAATACTGAACGTAATAAACATGTTTTTTATTAAGCATTCTTAATGTACCCTGTGCTATTTATTTCTATGCAACACTGTACACTCACAGTTTGAGTATTGACCTGCTAAAAGTGACAGCGATCAGCTGATTGATAGGAAGGTTAAATTTTGACAGCTGTTTGTTTTGGAGTTTTCATTTTACCTTTTTGCGATCTGTATACTTCAGAATGTGCTTTCTGGGGTATTCTTTACGTGCATCAACCATCTGTGTCTCTATCACATGATATGAAATATCCCCCATCAATAAAATTAACGTAAAATCGGCGTTTTTTGAAATTTGGTCAGATAATCCAATGCAAGCTATTATGGCAGCTTACGAGAAGTTTGCTCACCGATCTCCCACAATGCAACAGTGACACGCCCTTTTTTTGGAATGGGTGATTCATGTATAGGCCTACTTTTTACACAAACATAACAAAACGGATCAGGATAATATGTGCGAAAAGGAATATAATTCCGTAAAACATTTGATGAACGAAACGACAACGCATAATACATCAGCAATTTGGATATTGTGGAGTGTACAATGATTTCATATCGTCAACTATACCTATATATTTCAGACGTTTTGACAATGTGCGCGTTGTATCGTGTCCATTATTTTATATCCGGTTCCGGTACAGCAAAACCATGGTTGTATATTGATTTAAGATGAGAATCTATTGAACATGAATGACTCACAATTCGTATTAGCGCGGTTTTTTTATGATTCGTTTTAACAATTACAAAATAGTCAGCATATTTCGACGATGCGTAGTACGGCGTAGTGCCGCTGTTGGGGCAAAATTTCGGTCATAAAACACTGCATTGTGTATTCGACCAAATGTCGCTGTCCGGACAAAGTTTCTGCACAGCATATTGCATGCCCGGATTCATTGGCTAGGTGGTGTCTCCGCCTGGGTTAGAAATATTTCAAAAGACACGTGATCTCTAGCGTCATTTTGGCGTACATATTTAAAGCAACAGGAGGTCACTTTGATGAATCACAGAAACTGAGATTTAACACAACAGCATATGACATAACAAATGGCTCAGTAAGACGTTGGCATGGTAACCTGGAGGTCCTGCATTTTATCCCCTTGTTGGCCGAGAA